TCCCTGTACCACCAGAAATAACTATGTGATCTCCCTCCCTCCCTTGCAGTAAAGACTGTATTTTGCATTGAGAGCCTGGTGTCTCAATACAGTTCCAAGCTCAAAGGAACCAGGTTTTGATGAGGAAATGGCTGTTCCTAGAGTTGGGAAGGATGGTGCAGAATGATCCTGGAGCATCTTGCAATACCAAAAACAAAAGGATGCATGCATACCATGTTGCAGGGACATGAACTTTTTTGCAAGTTTCAACAAATGTTTCACCATAACCATTCAGAAATCAAGAAACATTTGAGTTATGTAAAATACTCTTTACTAATGTCATAAGGGATACAAGGATATAAACATCAGAAGAACATTGTATCAGTTCTAAAGCACTTTCCAGTTTATTATTGTTGTAGTTTCTATTATTATAAAATGGCTACTTCATCATGGTTAGCAATCTCTGGTTGCTCAGTGTTCTAGGCACTGGGCCAAGAGTTATACATCATTATTGTATTTATTATGTACACGTCACTAACCTCCCTTTAAAGTGGACATTTTAATCTCCTTTTTTCCAGCCTTAAACTGAAGTTCAATACTCCATCAAAGTCATACAACTAATAGGAGGTAAAGCCAAGTGAGTGCAGTGGCTCACACCTATAGTCCCCACTACTTAAGAGACAGAGGCAGAGTTAGGAGGATCACAGTCTGACACCAACTTTGGACAAAAACACAAGACCTTATAAAAATAACTAAAGCCAAAAGGACTGAACACACAACACAAATGGCAGAGCACAAGCACAAGGCCCTGAGTTCAAGCCCCAGTGCTATCCCTTCAGACAAGTGGGACTGTACAACAATCTAGGTTCCTCATGACACTTTGTACCCACACCCATAGGACAAATGAAGGCAGCTAGAAAGGCTACAGCGCAAGAAGGCAAAGCACTTGAGTGCTAGCCACCTTGGTGATCTTTGTGTCCCTACAGTTCTTGTACCTAGCTATGCGCACCATGGTCCTTCCCACATTGACTTTCTTCAAGTAATTGATTTTTTATTTTATTTATTTTGCTGGTCCTGACCTGAGGGCCTGGGCACTGTCCTTGAGCCTCTCTGTGCTCAAGGCAAGTGCTCTACCACTTGAGCCACAGCGCCACTTCCAGCTTTTTCTGTTTATGTGATACTAAGGAATCGAACCCAGGCCTTCATGCATGTTACCACTAAGCCATATTCCCAGCTTCAAGTGATTTAAAGAAGATGCATTTCATTCATCTTTTTACACTTCTAAGGTTATAGATGTTGCCTAGAGCAATGCTACGTTCAATATTATTGTTGAATAATATATAGTTGGACAGTACTAATAGGAAAAAAAAAAACTATTACAAATAGGTGCATAAATGTTATATTAGAAAAACTCCTACAAGTGGCGCTGTGGCTCAAGTGGTAGAGTGCTCGCCTTGAGCTGAAGAGCTGAGGGATAGCACCCAACCCCCAAGACCGGCCAAAAAAAAAAAAAACACAACAAAAACTCCTTCAAGGGAAGGTCAAAGGTCATGTATTCTTAGGTGAGGACGGTGGGGTGATGTTGGCAGGCACCCTTCATCCAAATCCACCATAATCGGGGCTGGGAAGGTGGCTCAGTGGCTCAGTAGTAGAGCACATGCCTTGCATGCCAGAGGCCCTGGGTTCGATTCCTCAGCACCACATAAGCAAAAAGAAAAATTCCGGAAGTGGCACTGTGGCTCAAGTGGTAGAGTGCTAGCCTTGAGCTGAAGAGCTGAGGGATAGCGCCCAAGCCCCAAGACCGGCCAAAAAAAAAAAAAAGTTAAAAAAAAAAAAACTCCTTCAAGGGAAGGTCGAAGGTCATGTATTCTTAGGTGTGGAGGTGGGGTGGTGTTGGCAGTCACCCTTCATCCAAATCCACCATAATCTCTCAGTCTTAGAATAATATTGTTTCCACTTGGATGTTACTTCCATTTGGAATCCTCTGCTAATTCTGGGCCCCCCGGGTCAGTTTTCCCTCTCACTGAACTATTTGAACACCTTCCCTCTGTGGGAACTTGCCTGCAGATTTTCTGTCTCACTCACTAGAATGGGGAGTGTGTTGAGTCTTGGTTTCCACTATGTTCCTAGCATGTAACACCATACCTGTGATTTAGTTATGTGCTCAATATGTATTTGCCAAGACATTTCAGTAGCACACGTTAGATTCTAAGAACTTTGAAAACTCATGGTCTGTTATAGGAAGCAAGATGAGGCTGCACTTTTCTCTTCCAACCATCTCCTTTCAGATCAAAGGTTGTGGCTTCCCCTGGGACAGATGAGTCAGGATATTTTCATATAAGTCAGAAATGCGGGCTGTCTCATGACCAATGTGTCTAGATGGGCAGCTGGGGAGGTTCCCACAGCTGTAACAGCAACCAGAGGAAAGCATTTCTCTTCTTCTTTAAAATAAACATTTTATTAGTACCAATTGATTATATAAAGGTATTTCATTTTGACAAGTTCATATATGCATTTGATAGACCTTGATTGGTGGCTCACCCCTCTGTCACCCTCCATTTATTCCCCTTGCTCAAACCAGTCTAAACAAGCTCCACTGTTCCATTTCCACAGATGTATGCAAAGTATTTTGGCCATATTCACCCTCCTTCACCCTCTTTGTTTTCCTCCCTTTTCCCAGCAGCACCCACAGCCCAGACAGGACCTGTTTTACATTCTTGCTTTTCATTTCTGGTGTATGCTAATTACTCAAAGAGGTTTCACTATGATATTGCACACATCCATATCCACTATTTTAATCAGATTAATTTCCTGCTTTACTCTTGCTCTCTCTATACCCACGACTTTCTATTATTCAGCTGCTTGCAGTGAGCTTCATTTTGCTATCTTCTTTCATGAGTGCAATGGATTTTGGGGTTGATCACCCTCTAGCATTCTTTCTCCACTCCCTAACGCCCTCAAAAGATTCTACAATTACAAACATATTCTGTCTGTCTGTCTGTCTGTCTCTCTCTCTCTCTCTCTATATATATATGCATATATATATATATATGATCCTGGGTATATTTACACATCACTTTATCTTAGATCTGACATCTACATATGAGAGAAAACATATACCTTTTGTCCTTCTGAACCCAGCTTACTCCCCTTAACATGACATACTCTAGTTCCATCCATTTCCTGGCAAACAATGTAATTTCATTCTTTATGGCTGAATAATACACCATTGTATGTATGTACCACATTTTCTTGATCCACTCATTCTTCTTCTTCAATTTTCTTTTGTGAAGGTTTTATCGTTTTCACTGTAGAGGTTTTTCAGTTCCCTGATTAAATTTATTCCCTGAGGCTACCATGAATATAATTGCTTTCCTGATTTCTTTCTCAGTCTATTCACTGTTGGTATACAGAAAATCAAACGAACTTTACAACTTGGGGGGGGGGGGGGATTGCGTGGGGGGGGAGGGAGCATGGGAAGGGATGGGAAGGGTAAACAAAGGAGAAGGCCACAATGCTTGATAAGAAATGTACTCACTATCTTGCCCATGTAATTGTAACCCCTCTGTACAGTATTTTCACAATAAAAAAATAAAAATTAAAAAAGAAAAAAAGAAAATCTACTGATATTAGTGTGTTGATTTTGTGTCTTATTACAAGAGTAGAATCTTTAAGGTTCTTTAGGTTTAGGATCATGCCATCAGCAAATAGGATAATCTAACTTCTTCCTTATCTACATATTCCCTTTTATTTCTTTCTCTTACTTCTCTGTCCAGGAATTTCAGTAATATATTGAAAAGAAGTGGGGAGAAAAGACACTCTGTCTCCTTCTTGGCTTTGGGTAATGATTTGAATTTTTCTCCATGTAGTATTATATTGGCTATTGGCGTATCCTATCTACACTTGTATGAAACACATCCCTTTTATTCCTAGTTTCTTCAGCACTTTTATCTTAAAAGGTTGTTGAATTTTACTGAAGACTTTTTCTGCATCAACTGAGGTGATTTTATGATTCTTGTTCTTATTTATGTTGATGTGCTATATTGTGTTTATTGATTTATAGATGTTGATCCAACGTTGCATAACTGGGCAGAGCAGAACATTTCTAATAGAATAGGTAGCATTTCAGCTTAACTTCAGATTATGTGACTCTCAATGGGTCCTCAGTCTTACCTGGTATCTAGCAGAAAGTTGCAGTTTTCTGGAATGACAGAAGCTAATGGGTTTCTGAAAATGGAAAAACTTAAAGCCTGGGAAAGCTCTTCATATAAGGATATCAAAACAGGACTTAAATAACACTCTTAAATACTGGTTTGGACTGGGCACTAGAGGCCCATGCTTATAATCGCAGCTACTTAGGAGGCTGAGATCAGAGAATGACAGTTCGAAGCGAGGCTGGGCAGGAAAATCTGCAAGACTCTTTTTTTTTTTTTTGGTCCGGTCGTGGGGCCTGAACTCTGGGCCTGGGCACTGTCCCTCAGCTCTTCAGCTCAAGGCTAGTGCTCTACCACTTGAGCCACAGGGCCACTTCCGGCTTTTTTCTTTTTGCTTATGTGGTGCTGAGGAATCGAACCTAGGGCCTCAGGCATGCAAGGCAAGCGCTCTACCACTGAGCCACCTTCCCAGCCCCTCTGCAAGACTCTTATCTCCAATTAACCACCAAAAAGCTGTAAATGGAGGTGTTACTCAAGTGGTAGAACACTACCTTGAAATTTAAAAAAGCTCAGGGATAGCACCCAGGTCTGATTTTGAGCACCAGGACCAGCACCATAAAATAAAATATCAAAATCTCTCTCATTCTCTCCTTTTCTCTCTCTCCTCTCTCCCCTCCCTCCCCCACTCTCCCCCTCACTCTCTCTCTGTGTATTGACTTCTAGATTCTATCATGTGAGTAACATGCTATTGAATGTTTTAAAGGAGAGCCCCTTACTTCCTCTTTTTTCCTCATTATGTAACCAGCTACACGCAAAGACATATTACAGAGCCAGGTCAGGACTCACTCCCGTGGGCTGGCAGTGGGACACCTGTTGCTTTGTCTGTCTGATTCTCCTGGCCTTTCTCTCACAACAACTCCACCTCCAGTTACTGGAGCAAGCCTCCATGTTGCTGTGGGCAGCCTTGCTCATCCTTGGTAAGTGATGGAGAGAAGCACGGCCTAGGCCTCATCAAGAGCAGAAGGCCCCTCCTTGGCTGAATGGATTTTACTCCCATTTCAGAATAGCATAAAATGAGCAATGGGAGAGATATTGTTTTCATGGTACGAGGGGAAAAATAATTGATTTACTAAGGTGTATTCCTCATCTACTTTTGCTTTAAGCTATCTATGAAAAATTGTGTTCCAAAGTGGGCTTATTGTTCGTGTAAAAGTAACCGCAAAATTAAACCCAAAAACGTACTGCTAGATTCAGTTTCCTTCCTCAATCACAGCTCATGGCGCTGGAGAGAAAAAGACAAACTGGGATCTTTGTGAATGGCTATATCCTAACTGTGAGCTGAGATAGAAATAATCTTGTACTGAGAATAATTGCCCTTGCTCTGTATCCTATGATCAAATCCCTCTTATTTGCACAGAGCAGGAAAAGAAATAAGATGGATTTCCTTGATTCCCTTCCATGTTTTTGGTATTATTTGTCAGTATTTGTCCAAATAAAGCACTGGGAAATTTGGAAAGGCAGTCTTTTGTATATCAAGTATTTATAGAGTGTATTTATCTTGTTGTCATGTGTAACCTTAGACTCTAAGAGAAGAGTTACTAGAGTGTTTGGCATGTCATGGGAGCTCAGTAATTTGTGCATCCACAAATTACTGGATATTCTCAATATAGTACAGAGGTGGGTACTACAGACTGCAGAAATCTGAGGGCGTGGAAGGGGGCACAGCTCTATCCTCAAGAGCTGACACTTTGATTAGAGCATCAAAATATAAATGCAAGAATGTTTGACAACAGAAGAGAAAATATTATACAACAGATCATAGGATACAGGGTGTTAATAGTAACTGATTCTTGCTTACTCCTGATGACGCTCTAAGAATATCTCATGTATTAGCCTATCCTATTCTTTATCAATCAACAGCTGGAATGCCTATAACTCCTGCAATTCCTACCTCCATGAACTAAGGCACAGAGCTTTGGGTAGCATGACTGATACTAGTACAGTGGCAGTGTCAGGATTCAAATTCGTAACTGGTCTTTAGAAATTATGCTTTTAATCACTACCCCATACTATATAACAAATTACAAGTTCCATATGAGCTATGGCAGACAGTGTTTCAAGTTAAAAAGAGAGGTTGCTTCAGCAGAGTAATATCTAAAAAGACTACTCTGGCCTTGATGAATGGGTGTGACTGGACTTCATGTAGTACTGAAGGAGGAAATGACTTCTATTAAATAATAATTTCTACAAGACAAGAAGAGGATAGAGTCAAGAGGATGCTGTCAGCTGCAACCTCATATTTTTAAAAATGACAGCAATCATGAATTGAGAAATTGCTAATTTAACTCATTACAAGTATATTATGAACTCATTTTTATGGTCCTCAGTTTTTAAATGAGGAAACTGAGTTTAGAAAATGTATGCTGAAATTAAAGCTAGGCTTTCTGAATCCACACTAACTTTTGACCACTGTGTTGTTGAGTGGGTGGAACTGAGTATGTTTCTCTTTCTCTTGTTTGGAAGTAGATGGCTGGCATGCAGGCTCTCGGGGAAAGTGGGCTGGGAGCTCCATGTCTGTGCTGATGCCTACCTTTGGCCTTTCAGTTCCAGTCAGTGGACAATTTGGTAAGTCCTTGCTTTCTTTTTCCTGTTATATCGCTAGTAACTAGCCCTAACTTGCCTCTATCTCAAATATTTGTGTAAAGAAACCTAGTTGTCCCCTTCCTCCTTTCCCTGAGGCTGCAAGGATGTGAAAACATGTTGTTCTGTTGACTGGGACCCTAAGCGCTAGGCTACTTGGGACTCACTCTGAATCCAAATCTGCCATGGAAGGCAGAGACACACAGCATAGAATTCTCAGCAGAGCCATGTGTAATCACTTTAGCCAAACTTTCTGAGATTTTTTTTTCATTAACACCTTAAGTCATGATGACTGAATTCCCGTCCATTCTACGGGTCAACAGAAAGCCCATTCTCTGTGGGATATATATTTTTTTCCAGCATACTAAGTGCATCCTGGGAGTTGTTGGTGCCCCCCTGCATGTCATGGCTCACAGGCTGCACATTGTCTCCTGCAGAGCCTGGGTCCGCTGTTATCCTCCTTGGTATCATTTCCTGTAGCTCCCTGCCTACCCTCAAGTAAAGGCAAGACACTGATAATGTTCCAGGATGGGGAAATGAAACAGAATGATTTGCTTCAGTTATTACAAGTGGTTAATTTCACAGCCCACTGAGTAGTAAGTTTAGGAAGGTCCTGGCAAGGTCATAGAGCCTCGAGCATATAGAAAGGGCAACTTACTCAGATCAAAGAGGAATCTAGCTATACTCACCTAAGAAAAGATTTCTCCACTCTTCTTTCAGACCTGCTGCTCAGGTTCCCCATTTCCCTGTCTCCAGGGCTTCCAGGGATGCTGGTGAGGATTTCTATTTTCTTCAGGAGAAACACAGCTATTCTCACTGAGAACATAGGGCACTCTGTCCAAACTTTTAAGAAAACTTCTTTCTTATGTCTGCAAATACTTGCAAATGTCTTACATTACCAAACAGCACATCTAGATTCTTTTTTCTTCTTTCGTCGGTCATGGGGCTTGAACTCTGGGCTTGGGCGCTATCTCTGCGTTCTTCAGCTCCAGGCAAGCGTTCTACCACTTGAGCCACAGCACCACTTCCGGCTTTCTGGTGATTTATTGGAGATAAGAATCTCATGGACTTTCCTGCCCGGGCTGGCTTTGAACCTCGATCCTCAGATCTCAGCCTCCTGAGTAGCTAGGATTACAGGCGAGAGCCACCGGCGCCCCGCTCACATCTAGATTCTTGTCTAAAGCATACATTAAGAGTACTTTACAGCTTTTGTTTCCAGGTAGAGAAAAGGTATGCTTTTATTACTTATTTTTCCATAACTAATGAATCTATTTGGGTAGTTCTTCTAGGAAAAAATGGTAAGAATGTTTAAAGTCTCGAGCTTTGGGAAAACAATTGTTTATAGGCCCTTTCAGTGGAAATACTCTCCCTTACCTGAGTATAAAACTACCAAGACAGAAGCACATGTAAAGAGATTCTATGTAAAATTTTATAGTAAATTATACACCATGAAATTGAGATTTTTTATTTAAAAACAATAAAATAATACAAATAGAAATAATCTGTTTTACTTTCTACTTCCCAGAAGTTACATGACATAGGCAATTTGCACAACAAAGGCATACATCTCATATTGATTTTTTCTTTCAATTGTGGGGGCTGCCACAGCTTTAGGCATCATCACTGTGTTCAAGGCAAGAAAGGGTGGAGGCACCGGTGGAAGAGGGAACGGGAGCTGTCAAAGAACTCTCCGTGTGCTTCTCTTCTTCTAACATAAAGGAAAATCCTTTCCCTAGAACCCCCATTCTCCCTAGCTTTCTTCTGTTACTGAAGTCTTAGACTGAAAGACCCCAGATTCCTGGGATACTTTTGTCAACGGGAGGGCGCCCCAGAAACTCAGACTCCAGGCCGGGAGATGCAATAAGCAAGAGGAATTTATTTGACGTTTGCGCAAACGGACTCTCTGCCCCGTCAGTCAGAGAGCCCTGAGCAGCGGTTACAAGCCTTTTTAAAGGCAAAAACCACAAGATTAACGCATAACACAAAGCATCCCATGATTGGTCCATTTAAAGGTCACCATATACACCAACAATTACTTTGCCACACAGGAAATTTTGTAACACTCTTTGTAAAATGACTGGCGCGGGGGACTCAAGGGGGGGTGGTTACTTTGGACAATAAGGGTTAGGGGAGTTTACATAGTTACAGACTTGTGATTGGTTGACATTCGGCCTAGTTTGCTGGTCCTGGGAGGTGGTCATCTCAAGGTCCTGTCTGGGGAATTTCTAAATGGGAACTGAGGAACACGTACTGTCTGTTCTTTATCTATGACCACTGACCCTGTCCTGGGGCCGACATCTGGGCTCTGAGACTTTACCCAATTCCTTATTTCCAGGGAGGGGGTTGGTGTTAGCGCAAGCAAGCAAGTTTACAGAAGCAGAGTCAGCAGTTAGTAAATTGTAAAATGGATGCAGCCCTAATTTTTCTAATTCTTCAAGACTAAGGGCCCCATTCTGGGGATTCAAGAAGGTCAGATTTGGCTATTTGTTGTGGCTCTGAACAGTAAAGAGATAAGACAGTGCATGGTCCCAATGGGAAGATAGTGGGTCTAGCCAACTTGTAAGAACTACTTTCCAAGCCAGGCACTGGTGGCTCATGACTCTAATCCTTGCTACTTAGGGGGCTGAGATCTGAGAATCACAGTTCTAAGCCAGCCCAGGCAGGGAAGTCCATAAGTCTCTTATCTCCAATAAACTACTCAGAAGAGCTGGAAGTACAGCTGTGGCTCAAAGTAGTAGAACACTAGTGTTGAGCAAAAATGCTCAGCAACAGTGCTCAGGCCCCGAGTTCAAGCCCCACTACCAACCAAAAAAAAAAAAAAAAAAGAAAGAAAAAAGAAAAGTACAGGTACTGGGCCAGGGAACCTTTTCCCCCAAGGGCCATTTGAATATTTATGACATCATTTGAAGTCCATATAAAAGTATCAGTACACACAGACCGACAGCAAACGGCAGTTGATTAGAGCTAGATGATTCCTACTCCTAGTAAAGAGACAAAATGGAGTTATTTGAGGTGACAACTGCCCTTCTTCAGGTTTAGGACAATGATGGGAGACTTATAGGTGCCATTCCTGTGATCTGTAATACAACATAGTAAAATATGGTATGTGACATTCTGTTGATTATGATGTTCTAGTCAACCTTTTCCTTCCCTTCCCTTCTTTTCCCTTCCCTTCCCTTTCTTTCTCTCTCTCTTTCTTTTTCCTTCCTTCCTTCTTTCCTTCCTTTCTTCCTCCCTTCCTCCCTTCCTTTCTCTGTCTTTCTTTATTACAGAATCACATTATATAGTCCAAGTTGGCCTTGCAATCTACCTGCCTCAAGGTCCCAAGGGCTGGGATTACAGGTGTGTACCATCAGGTCAATCCTAAAATCTTGAAAATAGTTATTCCTATGTCTTCAACCTTCAAGAAGATAGATTAGGTAAATGTAGAACTTTGTTACTAGTTTTAGATAAGTACTCTTAAATGATTAACACAACTACATGAGTGAGAATCTGACCTAATGTTTTAAGTAATAATGGAGACTGATACAATATGAAGGGAGACATCAAGCTTTTATCCTGTGTTCAATTACCCATCAGATATCTGCAAGAGAAAAGTTAGTGTGTTTATGAAAGCAGCCCTCTAGTCCCTGGTACAATGTCTCTAAGGGAACCTAGCACTCAAAGTCAAGGCTCACTTTTTCAAATCTGTGGTGAGCAGCATTTTGGAGGGAAATGAATTGGGACTACCCATCAGGAGCCAGACCCATGTTTTCCTTGTTATCAATTCTCCTTCTCAATTGTCAGCCACTTTTGCTCTGTCACATTCCTCAGAAGTGTTAGGAGCCATCAGAACAGTGGTTCCACAAAACTTTTTTCATGAAGTACCGCATCTTGGACAGAATCGTAAATAGCAATACAAATTCTTTTGTATTCCCATTGAAAGATTAGCTTGCCCCCAACATGGATCTTTGAGCAAGCCAGAGAGCAACATTGTGACAGGAAAGGATGCGTCTCCTGGTAAACAATTTGTGTGGAAATTATTTTTATTGTTAGCCCTCACAATCTCAAAGCTGCACAACTCAGAAAATAAACACTCTGATTTAGAAAGAGGCCCAGTAACAGGTTTTTATTAGGGAAGTATCATTTAAAACAAATCCTTCCCCTAATCAAAAAAAAAAAATCCTCTTCACCTTGGTAGTAAAGGAAGAAAACACTTTTATTATCAAATAAACATAAATCAGAATGCATCACAGGCAATCCACTAAGAGATTGAAAAGACAGAAAGGAATCCTACTCCTTTGTTCCAACAAACAGAAACAACCCATACATGCATGTTTTCTAGAGAAACATTAATTAGCAAAAGGACCTGAAGAAGCAGGTCATTGTAACTTTATCATGGAAGGGGTGGGGGGGGGGGGGAGACCACCTGTGTTAGCTAACTGGCTTTTCCTTGGAGAGACAAAGTTCTCAGAGTTTGATGAGAACCATTCGTTTCAACTATTAGAGCACTGTGAGCTTTCCAATGTTGGGCACTTCCTCTCCCATGGGAACTAGAAGATGAGGAAGATATCCCTAGATGGATACCAAACAAAAAAGATAGCACCTGAGACTTAGCTGAGACTAACAGATGCCAATTACCATGGTAAGATTTACAAACATCTGAAGAGTCAGAGAAATACATTTCTTAAAAGGAGGGAAAAAAGTCTCTTCCCTTGCTTACAATAGGAAGAGTTAAGTTTCTTTCAGATTTTTATTTGCTCATAAATTCTCCGTCTTCTGTCCCTCCATGTTTCCAAGATCTTAGGGCCAAATTCATTCCAGGTAATATCTTCTTGTTATAAGAGTGTCTTGGATATTTGGGTCTTTAGGAGCACTGTACTCTTGCACTTCAGATGGTAGTTTAATCAATGCTGACTTCTCATTGGTATGAGTAAAATACAACTTGGACCTTTCCCTAAAACTGCATAATTGACCATCGAATGGCTATTTTCCCTCCATGTACAAATGCAATCTCACCACATCCTTGAGCTATATGTATGTTTCCCTCCTTCCATTTGAGGTTCATTGCCTAGAGCTGATGAATAAAACTGATAAAAAGACAATTCAAAAGAGAAAGTAAAGTTTTAGCTATAAATGTATACACAGAATTCACACATTAAACTGTGTGAGCCAGATGACTGAAGTTTATTTACTGCTCATGCTAAACAAAGGAAACAGAGTTTGAGACTTTGGGAAAAGGGAAGCAAGTTATGGGAAGGAGACCAGAAATGTATATTGACCAAGAGTTTTTTAGTTTGTTCTACAGATTCAAGTTTCTACCTTCTCCATTGAGAAAGTCCAGGAGAACAAGATATCGTACCAAAGGAAATTCTCTTTACAAAAGGAACATTGATTCATTGTTTAGAGCTTTTCTTACTTTTGATGGCCATCAATTCTCACAATAATCCATATTCCAAAGAGCGTATTTTGCGATGTTGTATTCTGATACCCACCACACAGGTACATTTATCTTAGAGAAGTATCTGTTACATGAAGAGCCCTGGAGGGAGTCAGGAGAAGTGTAATATTCATATAGTAGCTGAGGTACTTGCCTACCTTAAAAGATAAGAGAGTTTAAGAGCCTCTTATCATTCATCAATGGTAAATAGGCCCCCTAGGCTTGCCCCTCTCACAGTATCTGAGAGATCTACCTACTCCTGTAAATTCCTAAGCAGCCACGGCACCTTTCAGTAAAGTAAGGCCAAGTAGAAAGTAAAGATCAGAGGCCATAGGGAAGCAGTGTCCCTCTCTGTATCATTGGGAGTTCTCCAAATCCTCTCAGGAATCTCTGCGGCTGGGAATGCAGGCACCCCATCTCAGTTCCCTTTCTCTCTCCTCGGCAGCTCTACCCAAACCTGTGATTTCCCTTCATCCTCCATGGACCACAGTCTTCCTCGGAGAGACAGTGAACCTGACTTGCAAAGGATTTCACTCCTACAAACCAGAGAAAACAAAATGGTACCATGCAAACTACAAGGGGGAAAAGGAAGAAAGAGAAATCTCAGGCAATACCCTGAAGGTCTGTGGATCTGGAGAGTTCAAATGTCAGGTTCGGGGCTCACCTCCAAGTGACCCTGTGCGCTTGTATTTTTCTACAGGTGAGAAAGACAAAGAAATGGCTTTGGATTCATCTTGGTTTCCTCGGGGTTGAAAGAACTGAATCCTTCATTCCTAATTTTTTTTTTCTTTTGGTTGGTAATGGGGCTTGAACTCTGGACCCCAGCTCAAGGCAAGTGCTCTACCACTCAAGCCACAGCACCAATTCTGTTTTTCTGGTGGTTGATTGGAGATAAGAGTCTCTTGGACTTTCCTGCCCAGGCTGTCTTTCAACCGTGATCCTCAGATCTCAGCCTCCTGAGTTGCTAGGATTACAGGTGTGAGCCATCGGTACCTGTCTGATGCACACTTCTCTTTTCCCATCTTTTTTTTTTTTTTACCTTGTCTCCTATCAACTTCACAGTTTTCTTCATTGTTTTTCACTTGAAAATTGAAGATTCCCTTTTTTTTTTTTTTTTTGCTTGTTGGTTAAAATGCTTAACATGAGCTAACATCTATGCACACTTACATAGTCAAGGAAGTAAGTTAGTTTTATGTAGCACAGAAGAAAGTTATCTGAGACCTTCCCTGCATGATTTTTTTATTTTTTTTATTTTATTTATTTTGGGTCCGGTGGTGGGGCCTGAACTCTGGGTCTGGGCGCTGTCCCTCAGCTCTTCAGCTCAAGGCTAGCGCTCTACCACTTGAGCCACAGTGCCACTTCCAGCTTTTTCTGTTTTATGTGGTGCTGAGGATTTGAACCCAGGGCCTCAGGCATGCAAGACAAGCGCTCTACCACTGAGCTACCTCCCCAGCCCCCCTGCATGATTTTATAGCTTTGTAAAGGAGAAATCATGTACATGTGTGCTGAGCAAAAACAGAAGATGGGAAAGAAGGGCAGAAATCTCCAACCTCAGGCTTTTCATCCTCATCTGTTCTGGTCTGATAGCTGGCCTTTCTTTTTCTCTATCATTTTTGTCAGTCATGGGGCTTGAACTCTGGGCCTGGATGCTGTCCCTGAGTCTTTCTCTCAAGACTAGTGCTCTAGCACTTTGAGCCACAGCACCACTTCCAGGAGCTGGCCTTTCTTCATTCCTATTTTTCTGTCTGATTGGCCTAAAACCTCTTTTTGCAGTTTTTCTTAGTTTAGACGTAAAGACTTGGATCACCTCCATGGGCACAGGCCTGGAGAAAGAAGAATTCTCCACAGTTATTTAAAAATGATAATATGGGCTGGGAAGGTGGCTCAGTGGTAGAGCGCTTGCCTTGCATGCATGAGGCCCTGGGTTCGATTCCTCAGCACCACATAAGCAAAAAGAAAAAAGCCGGAAATGGTGCTGTGGCTCAAGTGGTAGAGCGCTAGCCTTGAGCTGAAGAGCTGAGGGACAGTGCCCAGGCCCAGAGTTCAGGACCCATGACTGGACCCAAAAAAATAAATAAATAAATAAATAAAATGATAATAATAAAAAAAAAACCTAACGTGGTAGAATGTTAGCCTTGAGCAGAAAGCCTGAGTTCCTGAATTCAATCCTCAGAATAATACAATGATTTCCATAAAGGGTCATTTTTATTGTCTCTTGAGCCTAGAATTGTGTCTCTGACAATAACTCCACTAAAAAACACCCATGCCTGAACTACTTCCTTGTATATTTCTCCACAAGCCACTCCTTTCATAGCCCCTACTCTGATATTTGGGGCGAATGTTGATGTTGATTTTTCCCATATTCTATGATGTCAGGGGATTTAAGCCATATTCCCTCTGCTTTTTCTTGTCTTTATTAGAAACTTTATAGTTTGAGTCTATCATTGAATGACTGTATAAATACGCTTACGGTTTATATAGGATTTGTATCTGAAGTGAGACACACTGGCTTTGAAGGAATAGAATATACTTGTTTCAAGAGACAAAATCCTTTTGAAGAAGAAAAGACAATCAAAGACAATCTTTGTAATTCAAGGCACGCAGAGGAAAAGAGCCCCCTAAACGATGCGCTCTTATCTCTCTTGTTTCCAGGTTTGTTAATCTTGCAGGCTCCACATTCTGTGTTTGAAGGAGACACATTGTTTCTGAGATGCCAAAAACAAGGGAAGAAGAAACTATCTGCTGTCAAATATATTTGGAATGGAAACACACTCTATAAATCTAACAAAAGCTTGGATCTTTCTATTCCAAGAGCAAGCTTAAATAACAGTGGCCATTACCAATGCATTGGATTTATGGACAAAAATCATGTGCTTGAATCAAATCCCAAAGTTATTAAAATTCAAGGTAAGCCAGATATGGTGATTGCCTGCCCTCAGTCCTAGCTATCAGAAGGCTGAGAATAGGAGGATCAAAGTTTGAGGGCTTATCTCAACCAATTAAAAAACAAACAAACTGGACATGATAATGCAAGCCTGTCATTCTAGCTACATGAGAATTGCAAATAGGTAGACTGTGGTCTAGTCTGGTCACATCATAAACATGTGAGCCTGTTTTTAAAAATAAATAAATAAAGTAGACAGGCTCTGGTGGCTCACATCTGCAATCCTATCTCCTCAGAAGGCTGAGATCTGAGGATCGCAACTCAAAGCCTGCCCAGGCAGGAAAGTCTGTAAGACTCTTATCTCCAATAAGCTACTTAGAAAAATCTGGAAGTAGCACTGTGGCTTAAATCATAGAGTGCTAGCCTTGAGCAAAAGAAGCTCAAGGACAGTGCGCAGGCCTGAGTTCAAGCTCAGGTACAGTGTCCAGGCCCTAAGTTCAAACATACACACACACACACACACACACACACACACACACACACACACACACACAGAGTCAAAAAGGGTTAAAGGTGTAGCTCAAGTGTTAAAGCACCTTCCTAGCAAATACAAGGCCCATAAATCCCAGTACCACCACCACCAAAAACAATAATTTCAAAATTTCAAAGTAAAACCTTCATTTTGTATAGATTAATTTAATAATGTCAAAGTTGGAAACACTGGGCATTATACAAGGAGTTTATATTACTATCAAAACTCCACATAAGTGACAGGCAGAAGTACCCTGGGAGGCAGAGAAAGTAGAATGACTAGACTTGAGCCATCCTAGAGAAGGCAAACACAATGGAGAGCTTACTAAGTTTATCAGTCAGACATTTCCTATTTCTCCTAGAGTGCTAAGTACTCCTCAGTTGAGAACTTGAAGAAAAGAAATAACCACCCTTTTAGAGGTTGGAGGCATGGCTCAGTTGGTGGAACCTTAGCTAATGATTGAAAGTATCAGATTCCAAGTTTGAGTCCCGGTCTTAAGAAGAGAGAGAGAGAAAGAGAGAGAGAGAGTTAACTTTTCTCTTCTAGAACTATTTCCACGTCCAAAGCTGAATGCCACAGCCTTTCAGCCTATGGAGGGGTCTTCTGTCAACCTGACCTGTGAAACACATCTCCATCCAGAGCGACTAGACACTCCCCTTCATTTCACCTTCTTCAGAGACAAAGGAGTCATCCTGTCAGGCTGGAACAACTCCTCAGAGCTCCAGATCCCAATCATCTGGAAAGAAGACTCGGGATTATATGGTTGTGGCATCGAAACCATGACCCATAGTGTCCGCAAACACAGTCTCCTGCTAGAGATCAGCGTGCAGAGTAAGTGTAGCACCCAGGTAGCCTGAGTGAGGCTGTGACATCTTGTCTCTTTCTGCTCCTTCTCGCCCCATAGGTATAGACACAGTCCATCAGAGATGGGTTTTGTCATCTTTATAGAGATGCCAGGCTAAGATTGAGTAGTGAGAAACAACAGAGTTAGATTCCATCTCTATTTCTCTAAAAACTCAGTCTTTGCCAGCTTGGTCATATTGAAGTGGTAGGGTTGCTTCATGGAGTTAGATATAAGGCCTGGGGAAAACAGAACATGAGAACAAGATGCTCTGCTCCTGAGTGGGTAGATTCCACAATGCCAAGCTATTTAGAAAATGAATGTCCACTTCTTCTGAATTCTATGTGTATGTTCAGCACAAAAGAAGGAGGCACACACATATACATTCAAATATGGGAATAGGCATAGATGCCAATGCAGGGCTTCTGGAGGCGGGTAGATTCCAGCCTAGTGCTTAACAGCCACTGTTGCTACCCTGCTATTTCTCAAAAATAATTTAGACCACCAGTTAGATCAGACAAAACGTTAATGCATCTCCAGGAAAAGTCTATGATTGTTCCTGGGGCTTTGGTATTGAAAATGTAGCACATTTGATGTTCTAAGTCAAAAACCCATCCCACTGATCACAATGCTAGTTCTTGTTGAGAGGCATGTCTTAAAGTCACATATAAAGTGGCCCTGTACAACATTTTAGCCCTTCTTTTCCCTGCCTGGCCCTCATCTGCCATCTCCTGTTCCCAGGGATCCCTGTGTCCCAAGTCTCCATGGAGACCCAGCCCCCAGGAGGCCAGGCAGTTGAAGGGGAGACACTGGTCCTTGTCTGCTCCGTGGCGGAAGGCACAGGGTACACCACGTTCTCCTGGCACAGGGAGAACATGAAGGAGAGTCTGGGGAGGAAAACTGAGCGTTCCCAGAGAGCAGAGCTGGAGATCCCTGCCATCAGGGAGAGCCATGCCGGCGGCTACTACTGCACAGCTGACAACAGCTACGGCCCTGTCCACAGTGAGGTGGTGAACATCACTGTGAGAGGTGAGTTTTAGCCACCATTGACCATTTGACTACATCAAATTAGGAGTGGGCAGAGCCAGCATGACTCTGTGACACAAATCTCCTTTATTGATTTCCACGTTGCCATCCTTCCTTGTGACAGACATCTGCTTCTTGCTGCTTATTAGTAACTCAACCATGTCTGAGCAAAGTGACCATGGAGTAATGCTGATCAGGAGCCCTTTGACCATGCTGAGGTGATTTTATATGTGTGTTCTTTGGTCCATCGTGTGTTCATCTTAAAGAACAGCCATACTTCATTAGCAGCAGTGGGACACAGCTCTGTCACCAAAGTGTCAGCTACACCTCTCATTTCAGTACATCATCCACAGGGTATCAGAACAGTAGCTTCAAAGTAGACAGAATCAAAGGCCTAAGGCAGTCTTTTATTGGTGCAGGCCTGAGGGATGACAAGCTACCAAATTGTGTGCAGGCAGGTTATGAAACTTCCAAGCACAGACAATAGACAGAGCCCAGCTTGGTCCACTGAGGAAATAATAAACAGCTCACAGCCTTGTTTACAACTAGTACCAGCTGTAGTGCATAGCCTTCATTTTCTCTGGTCCCAGAAGCCACACTGGGCCAAGGCAGCTTCTTAGTCAACAACCTTGACACCTAGGAAATGGTTTCTATTGGGCTTCTATTGGGCCACCCAATAAAGCTCTTTTGTTAGACACACACACACACACACACACACACACACACACACACACACACACAACTCTATTATGCTTTTCTTTACAATAAACTTCCTCCAAAAAGTTTACTCTCTTCCATCCTCCCATTTTCTCTGAAACCCACCACTATCTACCCCAGACCACCAAAATTTCTTGCTTTGATTGTTGCAATCCCAGTCTTCTGCTCAACTCATTGCTCTTCTTTGTATTCTACATACAACACCAGAAAGAACTCTAAAATTACAATTTGTTGCTCTCCTGTTCAAACCCTTCCCTGGGCTGGGAAGGTGGCTCAGTGGTAGAATGCTTCTTTATATGCATGAGGCCCTGGGTTTGATTCCTCAGCACCACATAAGCAGAAAAAGCCAGAAGTGGCCCTGTGGCTCAAGTGGTAGAGTGCTAGCCTTGAGCGGAAGAGCTAGTGCCCTGGCCCAGAGTTCAAGGCCTACAACAAAAAACATTATGTTGAAAATGAACTTTACAACTTCGGCTGGGGAGCGGGGCGGGGGGGGGGGGGTAGGAGGAAGTTGTGTAGGGAGGGAAGGGAATGGTAGGGGGAAAACAAAGGAGAAGCCACAATGCTCAATAGGAAATGTACTCATTACCTTGCTCATGTAACTGAAACCCCTCTGTACAGCATTTTTACAATAAACAACCATACAAAAACAAAAAAACAAAACCTTCCCTGGCTTCAACCCCCCTCCCAGTGACTCACCAGGCCCTGTTGAATCTAGCCTTCTTCCCCTCACTTTGACTCAATTTTCTACCACTCTCTTCCTATCACTTTCACAACAGACACTCCTGTCTCTTCCTTAGATTCCCAGGACCTTCATATTGCTCTTTCTCTATAACCTCATGTTCACCCCTTACTTCCTCCATACAGTGTAACTAACAGCCCTCTTCCCAACTCTCCCTCTCCTAGTTCTGCTTATTCCCCTTCCACAGAACTTATCACTAACTACTAGGTCAGGAACACTACCATGTACCCTGTGTTGCTCACAGGGGTGGATCCTCACCTTAGCCACGATTGTATGTCAAATGCCTAGAACAGTGTTTGGCTAAGCTTATGCATTCAATAAGTATATATGGAATGGATGGGTTTTATTTTCATTGTCTCTGTTCATTGTAGTCACAATCCTAGAACATGAAGCTATTATTGTTTGCATTCTACAGAAAAAGAGAGTTCAAAGAGGTTTGGTAATTTGCACATAGTCACAGAGTTTATACATGACACAGAGTTGAACCTTGAACTCTTTCAGCACAGAGAGATGGATAATCATGTTGAAGTTCTCAGCAGAAGTGCCACACTGTCAAGTTCCTACCATCAACCATGCTAAGTAGGCAGGGAGCTGTGCTATTTATATAAGCAGTCAGCTCTGACAGTCAAAGTCATGAACCTAAACCTTTCAGTTTGAAAGGTTTGAGGCTCTGGGAAGGGGCTGCCATGCTAAAGGCCCAGCTGCTGCTCAATTTTCCCTTCACCTCCCTTGGGGGCAAGTCTGGTGATCAAGTAGGGCCCTCCCAGGTCAGGTGATTGAGATGTTTTCCTAAAACCAGGTGCTATAGAAGAGTATGCATCCTAGTCTAGAAGCAGCTTGGGGAGCAGAAACTTCAGGTATCATTCTCAGGAGAAAGACTGCAGTCCATGGCATTCAAGGGAATTTCAACTATCAAGGTAGGGAAAGAGGAAGCAGATGGGGAGGGGTAGAAAAGTTAAAAGCTGCCAAGGGCATGCAATGTCATGAAAATGCAGAGTGACTCTGAAGGTAGGGAATGGTTCCTACTGCAGACTGTGCCTCAGGGACCACACAGGTTCTGATCCCGAGGAGGGCTACAGTGAGTCTATTGGTAATACACATATAAGTGCAAATTACTCCTCTTGCTTTAGGAGAATCAGATCCTGGAATGAGTTCTCATCTTCTGATCTAGGCCATCTCTCTCTCTCTCTGTCTCTCTGTCTCTCTGTCTCTCTCTCTCTCTCTCTCTCTGTCTCTCTCTCTCTGTCTCTCTCTTTCTCTCTGTCTCTGTCTCTCACTCACACACACACAATGCTATTAGTACCCCCATTTTCTATATGGGAAAACTGAGATATGAGAAAATTGAATCATTTTCCCTAGCCACCCAGCTAGTAAGTAGAAGAGATGGGATCCTAGCCTAGTAATATGGTTTTAGAATCCTTTCTAAGACTGATTTTAAAACTTTTCTTAAGATTAGCCATTTAGTTCCAAGCCTGGATATAGATTATTTTCATTTTACACAGACAGAGGCCCAAGCAGGCAAGGTAAGATGCAGGGACCAAGCCATTGTGTTCCTGAATTTTCCCTGCTCCCTTCCTCACTGCCTCTTGAACAATCATGATGGGAAGGCCAGGCTGGCTGCCCCCTGAACACTATTTGTAGGTAGGACCATCATAGTTCAAATGATAGATTTGTTGGTTTTGTCAGGAAGGGCAGAATGAAAAGAGAAAAGTCACCTGCTGGCCCAAAGGCCAGGAATCAGATTTAATCTGATTCCTGGGAATTATCATTACTGTTGCTTTTGCTCTGATGTATGGATGCTCCCTGTCTATAATTCTTGAGTACTGGTGTCTGAAGTCTAAATTTGGCTTACTTGGGGACTCTTTGTCCCCTGATCCTGCTCTTACCTTCCATCTCTTCCATTTATTTGTTTATTGCTGACTCCTCTCTCCAGTCCCTAAGATCCACAGCTGTGGGAGCTTCACTATTGTGTTTACTGGCTGAATCCTCAAGGCTGAATCCTAGGCTACTACTTGCTAGGATTCAGTAAATGTTTGATAAGTGTGTAGATACACGGAATGAAATCTCTGGCTGTGGATAACAGATTAAAATGGACAATATAGAAAACTCAGAAACTCCCAATATCAGAGATTCTATTATTGAACCAATCTATTGGTTCTCCAATCATATAATCTCTTACTAGGTAACTTGGAGAGATGTCCAAGAAACTAGATTACAAGAGTATGGGATGCCCCCCCACTCACAAATTCTTCCTAATCTGTTAATTTCTGAGTTGATTCACCGAAGGTAGAAAGAGCTATTTCCCATGACACTCTGGTCTACGCAGGAACTTTTCTGTCCATACCTTGGCTCCAGGCATCCTTACAAGTCCCACCTCATCCCTTATATCTTTTTGTCTGTAAGGTGCAGGATCCCAGTCAAAATGAGGAAAGGTTCCAGGACTGCATGGCAAATTCAAGCGCTTTTTCTTCTGGGGCTCACACAGGCTCTTTCCCCTTAGAGATCCCAAGCAACAGAAGCAACCTCATGGGTTTGGGAGCTGCTGGAGGGTTCTTCAGCATTCTTCTCCTGCTGTTTTTCTGCTGGAGCTGGAGGAAATCAGGTTCGTGCTCCTTTCTTACCTTTGCTGGGGTCCCTACCTAGTCACCACATGTCATCCGGACAATCACACAAACCCACATCTCTTCCTTAAAGGGCAATTTTCCAAATAGACCCAAGTGGATAAAGCTACTTAGAGCCACTCTAATATATTAAGTCTCAATTAACAGGTAGAGGAAAACTGAAATTTCGATTGTTAAGCTTCAAACAATTTATCTAAACACTTTATTTGGAAAGTTCATACAAACTAGCCAGCTAGTTACTTTTTTCTATCTGAACCCTACCATAAAAAGATATTAAAAGTAAACTAGAGGGATCTGAAGAGAAGACAGAATGGAAGCTGGTGAGGAAGCTGGATTCTCTGGGTCGAAGCGTGAGCCTTCCATCTTGTGTGTCAGCTGCCTTATTCCCCACTTTTCAGCCTCCTTGCCCCAGATACATGCGTGATTCCAAAGGCTTTCTGCCCAAGCCTTGGACAGGCTAACTTCAAATGCCAGAAAGCCTGGTATAGGAGACAGACTCAGAAATTTTTTTAGCTTTAGAACATTCCACTCATCTTTCAACTCTAGTACTAGGCTGGACATAGAAGTTTTGAACCCCAACCACAATACTCTTTAGGAAACCTGAGTTGAAATTTGAGTTCCAACCTGAGTGGGGACCTGAGGTTCTTATGGCCACAGCCACAAATGTTCCTTGAAATCCAGTGAAAGCTCACTACTCTGTAAGAGTAATTTTTTTTGTTTCATTAATATTTATTTATAGAGGTATGTCGACACACCCTTAAGTTGTAATGGTCTCAAATCATTGTACATCTAACTCAGGAATGTGTAGTACTGGCCTCAGAAATCTATATGTTTTGTTCAATCCTTTTTCACAGTATTTCATGAAGATCATTTCTGGGCTCACATTTGTGTTAACTTCTAAATGACCTGTCTGTGTAGCTCTACTATGTGAAGTCTTTGAGAAAGAGCTTCCTCTGCTGACGTGAATGTGCCTTTGCTTCATTTTTCAGGAAATAATTTCCAGGAAGAAGAAACTAGGTAAGTGTACAATATGCAAAACTGTGTGAGGCTGCAAAATTTGATCAAGTTATTTCTTTTAGATCCTATGGCTAGGTACTTCCACTTTCATGTTTCTTGAGTAGACCAAAAATGAGGCTTCCTAGAACTATTCTTGTGTGTTCATAACATTATTCATTTTGCATATTATTTAGATTGGTTTTTTAAAAATCTGAAATCAATCCATTCAAGTGAATGCATGGTCCCAAAGAGTGTTGGAAGAGAATATTTCTGATACCTATGGTCCGGTAGTTAGACTGTTACTATGCCAATAGACACAATGACTAGGTTCCAGATTTTCTATAAATGCTTTGCATTTTTCAGGGAAGTCTAAGTTTCTAATATTCTTATTATTACCCAAAACATGCATGTGTATTTATTAGACTTTGTGTGCTTGAGTTCAGTTTGGAAAATATTGTCTATGTCAGTATCTTAGTCTTAGGTGATAGCCAGGAATTAGGGAATGGGTCATGTTTAATTCTTCTTTGATTTGTCCAGATGTGACAGTGTGAAGACACTTAGTCACTACTTCCTGATGATGAGGCTGGTTATTGGAACCATTCCATGAGACCACTGTCACTAAGATGTCAAAGATTGTCTGGCTTTTTTCCCAGGCAGCCTGCTCATACCATAATCCTTGGATTTCTTTCAAAAGTACAATCTGACTCTATACAGCCCATTGAAGCACCAATAAAACCCTTCTCTTTCCTATTGACTTTTCACTGGAGTCCTCTCATGTTGTACCTGTACATGATTTTACATTTCACAGGAGCCCTCCCAACCCTGCCTCTGGAGAGTCCCCTTGGTCCATCTGCCCTGCTCAGGTCCAACTGCAACCCTTGTATGTTAATGGTAAGGACTCCCCTGTACAAAGCTGGAAAGAGAATGTGCTTTGAGTCCTGCAGAGTCACCCTCAGCTCCCTACAGTTCCCCAAACTCAGATATTCACCTTAAACAATTGCTTCATTGTGTGTCCAAGAGGAATAGAGGTAATGCTTGGGAAGAGGCATTTGCAACTTATAACATGAACAACACAGCCTAGAAATGTTGTCTTTTTTTCCAGTGCAATACCAAGAGGGTGACTTGGTGTATTCTGAGATCCAGACTATTTGGCTAAGAGGAGAAGAAGAAGGTATGTCTCTGGGAAGAGATTCTGGCTGCAAACTATGTTCACTAATCCAGTAGACAGTTTTTGAGCACATCCTATATGCTAGGTACTCTGTAAGTGTATGAAGAGTCAATCAATGAACAAGGCAGACAAAAATTCCTATTGTGTGGAGCCTAGATTCTAAAGAGGGAAGAAAGACATGGAACGCGCATAATGTATCTTTACTAGTGATCAAAACAAAAATTAAGCATTCTTCTAAGAGATACCATGATCCTAATAGTGTATTATTATGATTGTCTCTAGGTCTGAATGGACATTTGTAAAGAATTTACCATGATAGTTACTACTCTGAGAACATTTATATATAACATATAAAATTTTTCCTCCATTTGTAATAGGGCTATGTCCCAATAACTTTATTGTAAATTGAGAATATTTGAGTTGAAAATACATATAAGGTATCCAATAGCATAGCTTATCATTCATTCTGCAGTGTGCCGTAGATTATGTTTTTTTGTTTTATTGAGCTGATACTGGAGCTTGAACTCAGGGCCTTGCCACACTCCTGCTTGGCTTATTTTACTCAAGGCTGGTGCTTCTACCACTTGAGCCACATCTCCACTTCCAGCTTTGGCTGGTTAATTGGAGATCAGAGTCTTACAGACTTTTCTCACCTTGCCACAATCTTCAGATCTCAGCCTCTGGAGTAGCTAGGATTACAGGCATGTGCCATCGATGCTAGGCAGAAATCTACTTTTTTAAATCTCTTTTCTCCCTATGCTTTCTTGTTCCGGTTGATTAACCCAAGCTCCTAGAGTCAAGGAAATAAGCAGTTCTGTTTCTTTAATAAATCCAGATATAGCAACCTCCCTTGGGAATTTAAACCTCTGGTATCATTATCTCACTTATAATTTAATGCTGAACCTTTTTTTACAAATCAAGTGTGTAGGAGTTAAAGAGACTGAGCACTTTCTCAAGGTCACAAAGCCAGAAAAAGTCAAAGCTCAGATCAAGTTTTGTGTCTTGCTCTAATATTTGCTGCTTGCCTAGCCTTTTCTACATCTGAGTGATATGTGTCACCACATCCTTTGCTTTGTCTATCACGTTGCTCTCTGAACCCCTCCCATGAACCAGGGACTCTGAACAGCAGAATTAAAACTGTCATCCACGTGGATTGATTGAGTACATCTTAGCTTATCTTACAGAGCTACCTTGATCATTTAGTCATTCTTCACACTCCTTTACATATTTGCCCAAGCACCATTTCTGTTGATAGACTAGATATATTTTAGGCACTTGAGGCACTGATAATCTGTAGAAAAAAAACTATAATAAGCAAAATTCTGTGCATCTGACCATTATTCTGGGGATAGACTACCTAGCTTCTGTCATATCACTAAAAATACCAATGATCCCAAAATGTGTGATAAGAATACACTGAAATAGGGCAGGGGGTGGGGAGAGGGGAGATGGGAAGGGATGATAAGGAGAAACAAAGGAGGAGGCAACAATGCTTGATAAGAAATGTACTCATTACCTTGCCCATGTAATTGTAACCCCTCTGTATGGTATTTTCACAATTAAAAAAAAAAAGAATACACTGAAACAGAAACCTTGGGGAGGGTATCTCCTTTTCAGGCTTAATCTCTCCATACAATTACTGTGGCTACCAGACTTATGTAACTGTAACCCTTCTGTTCATCACCTTTACAATTAAAAAAAATACTGTAGTGCTCCAATGATTCCTCCCTAATTTCTAGTATATGTAGTCCAACAAATCATGCCTGCTCAGCTTTTTTTTCTCTGTGGCTTTACCCCTATGAGACTGTGTCAACAGGGGCTGGGAATGTTGCTTAGTGGTAGGGTGCTTGCCTAGCATGTATGAAGCCCTGGGTCTGATTTCTCCATACCATATAAACAGGAAAGGCTGGAAGAGGCATTGTGGCAAGTGGTAGAGTGCTGCCTTAAGCAAAAGAAGCTCAGGGACAGTGTTCAGGCCCTGAGTTCAAGCCTCAGGACTGGCGGGTGGGGCGGGGGACAAAACTATGTCAACAAAATCAAGAACTAGAGCATGCTAATATAAGAGGGAGTTTTCTCACAGGATAGACCTATAGAGAGCTCTATGGGAATTTACCAAACTGTTGGGGAGGGTAAGATGGATGGACCATAACTCAAGAGAAGCAAGAACTGAACAAAGTGGAAAAATAATACATCAACATCTGGTAGAAGAAGAGACTTCACAGATCAATGAAGCTTGAGAAGAACTTGCAGAGGGCTGGGCTAAGAAATGATGAAACAGGAAATGAAATGGGTTGTACAGAGTTGAGGAGCTGAAGTGGGAAAATTATGGCCATCAGTGGAGAGAGTCAAATGCCCCAGACTGTGAGACACAAGCCAGCAGACTAGGCTATAGGTGTATCTTCATGCTTATGATTCAGTGGTTTTTCTTTCCCTCCATAGCCAGAGCCTCCAGGACTTCGCTAGAGCAAAAGGTGAGTTTCATTCCCCATTGTTTCTCTCCTGACACTTCCTGTAGTGCCATGCTCCCATTCTCTTTCCAGTTCTTCATTTATCTTCTCTTCATCCCAGAGGACCTCAATTGTCTACTCTGAGGTGAAGATACAGCCCTCCACTAACCCAGCAGAAGAGGTCAGCAGCTCCAAGGATGAAGACATGGAATGTCATACAAACGTCTTCAGTTGATTTGAACCTGGTCTAGAGACCCAGTGCAGTCAAGGCTCTAGAGTGACCAGCTAGTCAGTGTTTCTCCCCCCACCCAGGACACTCTGATCATCAATCTGAAGTGGTATGGGCTGTCCAAGGAAATACTTTTCTAAAAAGACCAGGTCCAGTTAGGGGAAGACTCTGTTACCTGCTCTGAGATTGTATTCCTGAGTCACTGATTTAGGGAAGGGAAATGGTAAGAGAGAAGGACTGAGTTCAAAAAACAGAAGCGTGCATTTCTATGAACTGGGACTTGCACAAAGAGAAAAGATTGAGCACTCTGGATTTGTGTTTAACACATTCGTAATTCTGCAGTCTTCTGCATCCACTAGTTTAACTGTGAGGGGCTATGCAGGTGTATCGCAGAAAATATATAGCCTCTCTCCCCTGCCTGCAATGTTCACACTATCCACCTCAACTCGTTTAAAGACAAAAACTTTTTAAAATTCAAAAAAGAAAAAGTCAGGAGAACTGGAGAAGTAATCTCTAGGCTGAGCTTCCCAAACAAGAACATTATTTTAAGGTCACTTGGGACAAAATCTCTTTTTCTGGTTTTTGTTGCTGTTGTTAGTACTGAGATTTGAACTCAGGGCCCCATGCTTATTAGACAGGCACTCTATTACTTGAGCCAAATACCAACCTTTTTTTTTTTTTTTTGCTTTAGTTATTTTTCAGATAGGATCTTGCTTTTTGCCTAGGTCCAGCCTCAGACCAGAGTCCTCCTTCCAATATTCCCATGTAGCTAGAACAACAGACACGTACTAGGCCCAGCTTATTTGTTGAATTTTTTTGTTGTTTTTCATTTTCTTTTTTTTCTTTGTTTTTTGCCAGTCATGGGGCTTAAATTCTGGGCCTGGGTTCTCTCCCTGGGCTTTTTTGCTCAAGTCTAGCACTCTACCACTTGAGCTAGTATACGACTTCTAGCTTTTTCTGTGATTTATTGGAGGTAAAGGTCTCATAGACTTCCCTGCCTGGGCTGTCTTAGGACCACAATCCTCAGATCTCAGATTCCTGAGTAGCTAAGATTACACGTGTGAGCCACAGGTGCCTGACTTACTTGTAATATCTTTTTATGGTGTATTTCAGATAGACAGAAGTATCTAGCTGGCTAGTTTATATTGTATGAGCTTCCCAAGTAAATTGTTTATATTGTTTGAAGCTTTATAATTGAAATTTCATTTTTACTAGAAACAAAAGTGTACTAATTTGTAGGGCTCATCCTGAAGTATTAAAGGTATTAATGTGGATTAAATATATATTAAAATAGTAAACCAAATGATAAATTTGACTTGAAGTAATCTGATGAGGGGAGAGTGTGGAAAAAAAAAAAGCAAGGTATTGATGAGATGGGACTGGCCATGTAGGGGACATTTCCTTCCTTCCTTCCTTCCTTTCTTCCTTCCCTCTTTCCTTCCTTCCTTCCTACCTTCCTCTTTCCTTCCTTCCTACTTTCCTTTCTTCCTTCCTTCCATTCTTCCTTCCTTCCTTCCTTCCTTTTCTTTTGTGCTGGTGCTGGAGCTTAAGGCCTCACCCCGTACTTGGCTTTTTTGCTCAAGGCTGGCCTGCTACCTCTTGAACCATACCTCCGCTTACAATATGTGTGACATTTCTGAAGCTGGGTATTAAGCACAACATCCAGGAAGGAGCCTTATACTATTTCTACTTCTGTATATTTTCAATTTTATACAATAAAGAGTTAAAGTTCTATACCCAGACTACTACCACCTTTGTCACCTTGACACTGTCAACCACCTTTGGCCGAAGCACCTCACACTTCCATTGCAGCAGTGGTCTGTGTCTCTTTGCCTCTTCCCTTCCCCAGTCCATTCTCAGCACAGTGGCTGTTGAGCTCCACACCCTTCAGATGGTCCTGCTTTCTTACACTAAAAGCCAGGTCCATAAGAGTCTGCAAGGCCTCCCCAGTCTATGTCCTTGGGGCTTTCTGATCTCATCTCCTATTTTCTCCTCTTTGCATCTCTACACACACAATCTTCTTGCTGCTTCTTGAACAGACATAACACAAAAATGCACACTGAGACCATTACACTGGCTGTTCCCTCTGCTTAGAGTGCTTTTCTACCCAGGAAGGCTTTGAGGTCTACCCTGACTCACATAGAAATTTAGAAACTACTCCCCTTTCATTACTGACATAACCCAAGACATCTACAACTATGCCCAGAACATAGAAGGTAATTGATACATTTTTTTTTTTGCCCTGGGGCTTGAGCACAGGGCCTGGACCCTGTCCCTGAGCCTCTTTGTGCTCAGGACTAGTGCTCTACCATTTGAGCCACAGCACCACTTCCATCTTTTTATGAGTGGTTTTTTTCAGAGTCTCATGAACTTTCCTGCCTAGGCTGGCTTCGAACCACAACCCTCAGATCTCACTCACCCTCTGGAGATAGCTGGGATTACAGCTATCTGATAACTAGGATTACATGTGTTAGCCACCAGCACACAGCTTGACCCCTGTTTGTTTGTTTGTTTGTTGCCGGTCGTGAGGTCTGAACTCTAGGCTTGGGCACTGCCCCTCAGCTCTTCAGCTCAAAGCTAGCGCTCTACCACTTGAGCTACAGCACCACTTCTGGTTTTTTCTGCTAACGTGGTGCTGAGGAATCGAACCCAGGACCTCATGTATGCAAGGCAAGCACTCTACCACTGAGCCACCTTCCCTGCCCCTTGACCCTGTTTTTTGTTTTTTTTTGTCGGTCATGGGGGTTGAACTCTGGGCTTGGGCGCTATCCCTGAGCATTTCAGCTCAAGGCAAGCATTCTACCCCTTGAGCCACAGCACTTCTGGTTTTCTAGTTGCTTATTAGAGATAAGAGTCTCACTGACTTTTCTGCCCGGGCTGGCTTTGAACAGTGATCCTCAGATCTCAGCCTCCTCAGGTAGCTAGGATTACAGGCGTGAGCCACCAGAGCCCGGCTTGACCCCTGTTTTTGAATGAAAGAATGATCTTTCAGTAAAGAGAATCATTGTTCCTTCCAAGACGGAAGGGACTCAATGTAAACAATACTACCACATAGCACTCTGCCCTCCAAGGAGCCGACTCTCAGTTCCACTTCTGACTAGGCAGCTGATGGTGGTCAGAGCAGCCTTGTTTGAGCACAGACTTCTGTGACATATAACTTCTCATCTTCTACTAGCCCACTTCATCCTGAGCCCTCTGAGTAATCACTGCAGTAACTGGAAAAAGACAAAGCTGCTTGATATTCAACCAGGGCAGATGATCACATTGGCTGATTTCCTCCCAATCAAAACTTGGTGGTTTAACCTTTTTTTGTTGTTTCTTGAATAATCCTGTGTGGTACTGACAACTCCTTGCCTTCACTTGAGTCAAGATAGAGCATTACGTGTCTAATGTCTACTATCCCTCATATATTTCATATATACGTATAGTCATTTATATGTATATGTATACATACATATAAATGTGTGTGTGTGTATATATATATATACATATATGTATATATGTATATATATATATATATGCATCTTTGTGTCTTCCTGTATGCACTATCTTCCATCAGTGCATGATAGCTCCATCCCCAGTCTTGCTGTTGGTCATATCTAATAAAATCTCGAAGGCTGAGTGTGAACTTGAAATCAGATCTAAAAACAAGCCTCCACCAAAATGTCACTTCAAGAGCCACAGAAAGAGGAACTCCAGGATAAATATATCATTTATGTTTATGCAAAGTGAGCTGGTTTGTTGGACTTCCCAGAGGCATGGAAAAATTGTACCTCAAACATTTACATGAGCTGGGGGGATGGGGAGGAAAGGGGAAAACCTCAAGCCAGTTGACTTTTATTATTTTCTGATTTAAATAAGAATTTCCTTTCGGACTGGGAAGGTGGCTCAGTGGTAGAGCGCTCGAGGCCCTGGGTTCGATTCCTCAGCACCACATAAGCAAAAAGAAAAAAGCTGGAAGTGGTGCTGTGGCTCAAGTGGTAGTGCGCTAGCCTTGAGCTGAAGAGCTGAGGGACAGCTCCCAGGCCCAGAGTTCAGGCCCCACGACCGGACCTAAATAAATAAATAAATAAATAAGAATTTGCTTTGAAAAGGAAGTTGGCTCTTTGAAGAGGGTCCTCCTTCCTAGAGAACACATCTGTTCAAAAGCTAGAGTTTTTCAGAAGGCTGCCCAAGGACTGCGAAAAAGAGAACAGAGATCGGGTGACCGTGGCTCATGCCTGTAATTCTAGCTATTCTGAAGGTTGAAAACTGAGATTTGAGATTTGAAGCCAACCTGAGCAGGAAAGTCTGTAAGACTCTTGTCTCCAATTAACTAGTAAAAAGCTAGATGTAGGAGGCATGGTTCAAGTTGTAGAGCACTAGCCTGGGGAGAAAAGGATAAATGACAGGATCCCGGTCCAGAGTTTAAGGTCAAGGATCAGCACCAAATACATAAATAACAGAATTAGATGCAAAATGATTACATGATTTGTGGGGCATGGTGCAAAATGAAAATGCAAGATCTCTTATTCAAAAAGCAAGAGAAGCTAGGAGCTGGTAGTTCATGCCTGTAATCCTCACTACTCAGGAGGCGGAGATCTGAAGATCCCGGTTCAAAGCCAGCCTAGGTAGGAAAAGTCTGTGAGATTCTTATCTCCAATAAACCACCGGAAAACTGGAAGTGGCGCTGCGGCTCAACTGGTAGAGTGTTCACCTTGAGCTGAAGAGCTCAGGGACAGTGCCCAGACCGAGAGTTCAAGCCCCATGACTGACAACAACAATAAAGCAAGAGAAAGAAAGTACCATGAAAGGATTAGAATATAAAGTTTTACCTTTCTTCTGTGATCTCTTCCTGGACTTTTCCAATGCAAATGCTATTCTAAGAGAAGAAAGTATAAAAATTTTAAGTATTAAAATGAATGCTTCTGTCCAATATACTTTGTAATGCTGATTTTTCCTGCAAATATAAAATCATTCAGTTAATAAGTGGAATCACTAAAATTAAGCTATTCTATTTTA